ATACCCTATTTTAATGTCTAGGCCTTGAAGGAAACAAATGTACTTTGGGAAATGCAGCATTTTGTCTCAAGTCTACTCAATACATTCATTGTTACATTTTCAACTGAGTTATATTCCGGTCCTAGTGAAAAGATTACTAATGCCACTGTAATTGTTTTCAGCATTATAAATGTGCATTAAGTTGGTGGAACAAATAGATTATTGTGTAAAATTGATAAAACTAATTAAGCATGTCAGCTCACTCAAGCCTATTATATAGAACAGTTTATCTCATTTTGTTAAACAGATTATGGCTTACATTCAATGTTGCTGTATATTTTTTTTGGGAAAACTGTTAAGAATTAAACTAATTGCTTGACAGAGAAAGCTTAGCTGTTCACACATCTGCAAAAAATATTCAGGGTGTACAGCTTCCAGGACTAATGACAGTGGGATAATTATATACCTATCAACTTTTTGGATGTTACTAAAACACAGTAGTTATTATTTTCCTGATGCTATTACTTTTTATTTGGCACTAAACATTATTCTAGCTTATATCATGATTTTACTTGGGAATGAAGCTCCACTTTTTTTTAAATGAATTTAAGGACATTGTGCAACACAATAGAGTTTAGGGATGTGTGGAAACTCCCCATCACCACTCTGCACAGTTTGTCTCAAAGTAAGTGGAGTGATTTCTTGGCAAACTGAGAGAATGGCTTAGCTAATTTGATTCAAAGTATACCCTGTCACATTCATGATTGGAAAGCATCCCCCCATTGTTCTGTGAGTCTCCATACACTTTAAGCCTTTGCCCATACTCCAAGTCACCTGCCCTACTTACTGTGTGCCATTGATTTGAAATTAGTTGGCCCTAAGTCTCTGAATTAGTTGACTCTGAATTTGAGCTCCATCCACTAGTGGAAGGGGGGAAATGAAGGAGGACAACTCTATTTCTTCTAGCATCTTGCACTATTATGACACCATATTGCAGAGCATTCTGAGTTAGGAATACAGAATTCACTATTTTTTTAAAGCATACAAGAATAAAGAATTTCAAACATTCTCTCTGTGCTGCATAAGATTAATTCCTGAATTTTTTTATTTTGAGACCTTTTTGTTAAAGAAAATTGTGGAAAACAATGTTATTTTGTACAGAAAAACCTTTTTTCCAGGAAACATTGCTGTTTTCTAACAAAACAAAAACAACAACAACCCTGTTTTCTGGTCAAAATCATCATCTTCTTCTTCTTCTTCTTCTTAAGTAACTATCTCCTATGTCTTTGTCCAAAAAGGGCCCAAACTAATTTTAAAAAGACTGTAAAAAATCAAGTTTATTTACATCCTTCCTCCTGCTACTAACTGTGCTGCTATAGCAAGAAGGAACATTGTATTATTCTACAACAGCCTGAATTCTCCTACCAACCTCTGCAGATGAGAAAGTTCATTGCAAATTCCTCTTGGGAACATGAGTTACACATTACTTTTGGGCACTGACTGCAAAGTGAATATTGATTCATCATTTTCACTGTGTGGATGTTCCCTGAGAATGTGGCACTCCTTCAACTTGTTAGCTTCTGACAGTTACTGTGATAGTGCCCATGTTTGGAAAAAAGTCTTAACTTTAGTGAGGAAGTTTAGGAGAATAAATGGTGCCACTGCTAGATACTTTGAGTCTTATGCCAGAATCCTACTGTCAGACCCCACTAGCGTAGTGAATAGCGAGTTAAAACTTATGCATATCCAATTGCTTCAATGGTTTACTCTATTTGGGTGTAACAATAGGATTATGACTAAGGATGTAAAGAATTTTCTCAAATTGTCTTGCTCTCAGTGAGTAAAGAAACCCCATGGGGGAGAGGAGAGGATGAATGTCATGATTTCAGCAATCTCCTTTCCTCATTTTTGTCAAGGTTTTCTTTTCTGCACAAAAGTCATTGTGTTTTATGCACAAAAGACCCTCATGAAGTGTTCACCAGCATTTCTAAAATGAAAAACAAAACAGAAAGAAATCTTGCATATGGAAATGAAACAAGCGAAGATTAACACCCCTAATTCAAGCCTTAGCCTTTCTTCAGTTCATTCCAGCTTTGTCTTGAAGTTGGTATTGTCAGGTAGTTGAGTATAGGAGTCTGGATGTGTGCCAATCAAGTTACCCAAGTGAGGTTATTTAAGGAAGAAGACCAAACGGAACAATTGCTTGATACAATAAACTCAATCATTCAATCTCAAACTACTCCCTAACCAAAACCTGGTATTATTTCATTAAGTGTATAACTGACAGACACATGCAGCCTTACAAAGCATACTAGGAGAAACTTGCTGAACATATAGGTTTTTCCTCCAAGATAAAATTCATCTGTAAAATGCCTTTCAAATGTCAACCAGTCAAATGTTTTTATGCTTTCTCATCAATGGCCTTTCAACTAGCAGACCAATTGTATATGAAATTTTTTATTACTCAAAATTTCCATAAGGATACTTTTAAAAAATATTCAAGGATATGTATAATACTGTATAAGTTAATAAATTAAAATATATTCTCAGTATTAGAAAGAAAAGACCATCATTAACATTTCATTTTTTACTCTCTTTTCCAGTAATACACCAGAATCAAAAGAGCCTCAAAATATAAGCCAGCATGTCCTCAAGCCACAGCCAATTAAAAACTGCTCCTCACTAATTAATCAACTAACTCTTTAGTTGATTAGTATACCAATTAAATGGATCAAAGACTTCTGCTCTCGCTTAAATGAATTAGCACATGTTATTGGGCTACTGTGTGTGTGTTTTTTTATAGAAGTCGTAGTAATAGGGGAAAATGACAGAGAACCAAGACCTGAATAATTAATCTGTACTAGGAACTCTTAAAATATAAAATCACCATGCACCCATTATACAACACACACAGTATATATTATAAAACAACACTGTTCTAACATAGAATAATTGATCATTATCATTAACTATGTGATCAGGTAAACTGATGAACAATTTAAGTGCATTTATTGTCATAGAGGTCACAGGTACCCAAGAGACTGATCTGATATGCTGTTGTCTACAACTGATGCCTCATTTGAATAAATATGAATGGAAACCACACATCTTTTAAGACACACCACATGATAAATTCTTTGTAAAAAGTTGAAAGGGAATAAAGTAGATGTTGAAATTACAAGAAGCACATCAAAAACCTCACAGACTTGTCTTGGACATTATTGCATTTATATATTTCCATTTCGTCTTTCTACAAAAAAGTGTCTAGAATAGATTATGGGTTCATAAGAAATAATCTCAGAGCCTTCATTAAAATTTCTAATTAAGATTTTTTTTTTTTTTGGAGGGGAAGGAACAAAAGTAGTTTGTTGTCATAAGTACTTTTCTCCCCCAAAATGAAGTTATGTTATTTTAGATCTTTCTGTGAGCTATCTTAACCAGGGACTCATGCATGCTACAGAATTATAGAATTATTATTTTACTTTAATGGTCATAGCTGCATCCTGTGGAATCCTGAGTTTGTAGTTTGGTGGGGCACTGAAACACTATGGTTGAGGAGTCTACTTATTCTCCCCTAAATTACCAATCCCAGAATACTATAGGGCAGAACCATGGCAATCAAAGTGGAGTAATAGCACTATAACTCTGTAATGTGAATGAGTCTCTGTTGCACTGCATGCATCCTGAACTTTATTTCCCTTGATTCTCGAAGACTGGGGAGAAATGACCTATGAAATAAAATATCTATATAATTCCAGACAATGTATTAGGGAGAAAAAGACAACCATTCACCCCACAAAAACATTGTCTATTTCTTTTAAATCAGATGGGAGCAATTACTGCAGAGCTGGGAGCCATTCAAATTGGTTAAGTGCTTGAGCACCACCATTTTTGTGTGTGGAAGTTGGAGGGGATGTGTTGGGAGATTTTAAAAATTAAAAATCCACAAAAATATGCATGCATTCATTCCCCCTAAAGAACAACAACACTGAAATGTATCTCTTAAACAATAATAATTTATTTAAACTCTCCCACTCATCATTACTAAACAAAATTCTTCTAGTTATACTTTAATTTATAATTATATGTAAACGATACTTAAATATACAGACATATATTTCAGTGAATATGTTATTGAGGAAAATATTGACTATTGATATTCAGGTACAGGGAACTAAAGTGGCTATTATACTGACAAAGAGATTATCCCACTGACTATAGTTTCTCTTTACTATATTTACTACAGTGTTCCATTAAATGCCATTTAAAAAAAGGTTAAAACATTAACATTATCGGGGATGTGATCATTGTGGGGATTGGGACTGGGGGAACCAAAAGTGCTACACTTAGCAGTTTTTGGCCATACAGGGACTAAAAATTGCCTGTACATTTTTTAAAAAATTGGGACTCTGGGCTTTGGAGATCACTTGGCAAGCATTGGGTTCTTTGTCCAAATGGCTGCATATAACCTATGGGCCATATTTTCCCTCCACTGAATTACTAGCTGTGCTTGAGAAATGTCTGGGTGTGCAGTGCAGAGTCATGAGAGTCAAATAGTTCTGTGTTTTCATAAACTCATTATATACTGGTAAAAAGGGAAATTAAAGTCCTCTTATGCATGTTTATGAGAGCCAGCATAGCACAGTGGTTTCAGCTCTGGAGACCAGGGTTCAAATACCCATTGAGCCATGAAACCCACTAGATGACCTTGGGCAAATCACACTCTTTCAGCCTTAGAGGATGGCAACGGCAAACTCCCTCTGAAGAAACTTGCCAAGAAAACCACATGCTAGGTTAACCTTAGGGTTGATAAGTTGGAAATGACTTGAAGGCACACAATAACAACAATGCATGTTTATGCATGTATAAATCTTGAGTTCAATGAGGCTTACTCCCAGTGACATGGGTACCGAAGTCTAGTTTTAATAATAGATGGTAGAAATTTTACATAAAAGTTTCTCCTTAGTTTACAGGTATTTCAGTCAATATAAATTGTACTGAATAGAGCAAATGTATTTAGAGTCAGTGTGATGTAGTGGTTTGAATGCTGGACTAGGACTCCAAGAGAGGAGGGTTCATTTCCCCATGCTGTCAAATCACCCTCTTTCAGCTTAAGAGGAAGCAAATGGCAAGCCTTCTCTAAATAAATCTTACCAAGAAAATCCTACAATGAGGTTGGCATACATCAGAGCCCACATGGAGGAACATAGCAACAATGAAACCATACTAATACTGTAGATTTTACCTAAGATTTCCATTATTTTTAATGGTATCTCACCTCCTTTATCATGTTTCAAAACCCACACAAAGTAATACTATTGACATTAATTGCCAGTCATGGTGCATGGTATTGTAGAAGAGGACATGACTTACTCTCTTTCCAGGGGGGCCAGGGGGCCCAGCTTCTCCTGATGGACCTGGTGGACCCTGAAAAAGACAACAACCATATAATCATGACAGAGTTTCTTAACAAGTGCCACTGAAGAACAGGTATTATTGCTGTGGCAGAAACATTACAATGATGACACCTCAAGCATGCTTAACCTATATATGAAACAGCCCCAGCTCTGAGATCCTCAGGGGAGGCCCTTCTCTCCATCCCACCACTATTACAAGCATGATTGGTGGGGACATGAGAGAGGGACTTTTCTGTGGCTGCTCCTAGAATCTGAAACTCCCTGCCCAGAGACCAGAATGGCCCCTTCCTTGATGGCCTTCAGCTGACAAGTAAAAACCTTCTTTTTCAGACAGGCATTCAAAACAGAAAGCTTTTAAAGAAGATCTAGCTTGTTCTATATTCACTCAATAATTGAAGCATAGGGTCAACTGGTACTAACTTATTCAGTTCTGGGTTAGCTCAAGCAAGACTTAACCTGGAAGTAACTTATATTCATCCATTTCTCACATTTTCGCCACCCCCCAGTAAGTAAAAGGTTTAAAACTGAGAAGAAAATATGACCCACAACTCTAGGAAAAAGTGTACTTTTGGATACTCATAAGGTTCATAAAAGAATCTTTTAATTTTTCAAAGTAGGTTATATTTAAAGTATTGTTTGAAATGCAGGAGTTAAGGGACACTTGGCTTTTCCACAGGCATCCATCTTAACAATGGAGTTTATCACAAAGGCAAAACTGGAAGTTTAAATGGGTAAGAACCCATGATTATCCAGCATATTAGGCACAAATGAGCAAATGGTTTTCACACGACATGTGCAAATGGCATAATATCCGACAAGAAAGTGACATGAACCAGCAAATAGGCATTTTTGGGAAAAATATTGTGAGTTCATTTCCGTTTCATTCAAGAATTTGCTTTTTTTTGTGCAATTGCTGTAGTGTGCAAGTTACTTGCAGTTTATTCATGGGATTCTCTATGTTTTTGTGTTTGTTGCCAGATTTCTTATGGTTCTTTGGGGCAAGTTTACTTCCAGTGCTGTGGGGCAATACTGTAATACTGC